AGTTAGCCTGTACAACGCTGACATTCTGTGGTAAAGCATGGATTTTGAGGTCAAAAGAGCGTTTGGAACTGATGAAGGAGACATCCTCAATCTGGCCTAAAAGCTTCTAAAATGACCCTCCTTGTTTGCTCGCAATCAATGTGCATGTTTAGGGGCGGGAGATCAGGGTGGAGGGGGGTGCTCGTCGCTCAACACATCCATCCATCATCTCATGGAAAGAATGACAATGAAGTGGGAATGACATCATGGAAGAATTCTGGAGTGACAGCAAGACTTGTGTGTACACACAACTTCCGAGGTAGCCCGGAGGAAGTAGACTGGAATATGCGCGCTGTCGCCTTTCGAGGGATTTTGCAGTCATGACATTCAGTTTACAGGCGACCCTCGCAGGCATTCTGACTGGCTAATGAAAAACATGCTTTGGGTCCTGCCACACTGAGCATTTGGGGGGCATCTCTGAATGCAGAAACGACAGCAAGGATGTCGCTGGGAAAGTGAACTAATCATCATGTCTGCCTTAAACTGGGAAAGCATTTCAGAAGCACGTTTCAATTCTAACTTACACTGCAAACAAAAATCAGCTACAATGCGAAGTCGAAGCCAATGATTGAAGTCTTCACATTAGAACTTAAATAAGTTACTCCACCTAATGCCACGCGTTGTCAGTCATGCAAGTTTGAAACTGTCCACCAACTAGACATGGATCCAGAATGGTAATGCTAAAAAACATGCTAACAATAATCCAATGGTCCTTCCTCATCATTTGTGCAAAGAAGGGCAGTATTTAGTGACTTGTTTTTATCTTGCACTTCACACATCATCCATATGTTAAAACAACAACTATACAAACTGAGCAAAACAAACTGAAATGAAGCATTTCACTAACCAAACGAAAAAAGTAAAAACACAACAAAAACTAAGTCCAAAACCATTACTATCTTGCTGCAGAGGATAACTAGCGGGAACGTCAGATCCAATCATGTTCATCATTCAAGCCCTCACTAAGAGGCCAATCAATTTGTCAAGCAATGTAAACTGAAGGTGTACTACTTCGCCTGGTGCGCAGCTCAGAGGAGCGCAGACACAGTTACTGACAGGACGAAGACAGAGCTGCTTGATGATGAGTAGGTGTGCTGGAAAAAGATCCTTCTTTTCATTTGTTTGACATCTTTTCATACAGGTGGTTGAAGCATAACCTACAGGGAACCCTTTCAGGGACAGCAGTTACTTCAGTGGACAGTTTATCATGTTATCAGGGTCCAGGTTATCATTATGGGTGCATGAAAGGATTAAAAATAAATAAATAAATTCAATATCCAGATTCTTCCACATCCATCCCTATTCTGTATGACTGGCATGTACAATGACAATGAAGTTGACCCAGCAATTTTCTGCTTCAAGAAGTTTGTTTGGTTCACAGTTCACGATTCAGGAATTAACCAATTCATATTATTCCTCGCTCACCCCCCGGCCCCCGCCCCTCCCAAAAAAACCTCAAGCATTTGCAGTTCTGTTGCTCTTCTTGACATGCCCTCAAATTCCACGAGATGCTGCGAAAGCATAAATAGGAACTGGGATGCAGAAAGCACGTTGGAAGTGATACATCTTGACTCAGTGACAAGCTTTGTATGTCAGGGAGGAGCTAAATTTAATCTGGGTTGTACGTGGAATATATTGAAAGTGTTTGCCACATTTGCACGTACCTATGTTGAAACTACTAATAGAGGAAATTTTGAACATTTTGGGAACCATGGGTGCAAACGACGTGTTTCGCTATATGCAGCACAGCTCGGTCCCTATATTGTAGCTGCATTGGGGATGAAATAGAGGCAGACAAATGCCAGTTCTTCTATTCATGACACTGACGTGGAAATTTTTTCCTGGATTAGTGTGAAGCAGTCGGCAAACTATCAACTTTTGGTGACCCAAAGCGATCCATGACACAACAAAGAGGAAATAAGATGTCTCGGGCGGAGTGCTTGGCTCCCGAATGAGGAGACCTCGTTATATACATCCTTCCATTCATTTACAGTGACCTGCCTCTGATTCCCTCGGGTGAGCCAGTGAGTGTTAGCAGGTGGCCAAAGATACCAGCCCACTCCTTCCCTGAGGGGGAAAGAGCTGGGGAAGAACAACAACGTGATTGCGCTATCAGTTACCTATTCAGCTGCGTGCACTGATCCCATTCTGATTCCAGGTCAACAGAAGCTCTTTGAAAGATGCCAACAAGGCTCCCAGGAGTTTCATAAAGTGACAGTTACAAACTTTGGAGGAAGATTATTTCTTTATTTTTTGTGAACAAAAGTCGAACAAATTGTTGTCATTAATATATACATATACACACACACACACACATATATATATATATATATATATATATATATATATATATATATATATACTGTATATATATTTTTTTATTTTGTTTGACAGTATTTTGCAATATTTTGTGTCATATTTGGGGATGTTTTCTCATATTCAGTTGTGTTTAATATTTTCTGCTCAATATTTTTTTGCTGGTGTTTTTATATTTCTCTTATTTCTCTTTATAACTAGTTATGTTTTTCTATTTTTGTCTTCTCAGTGGTGTTCTTTTATCATGTGTATTCATTTCTTGTATTTGATTATATTTTATTAATGATATAAGATGAAAATATCATGCAATATTTTGTCTATTATTTTCTAATATTTTTTCGTACATACTTGGATTAGTTTGAAATATTTGTCTATTTTTTATTTAATATGTATTTTGTATTGTGTTCAAATGCCTTGTGTAGTATTTTTAGTTTCTTTTTAGAAATGTGCATTTTAAATTTTGTATGGGTGTCATGACCAAATCTTTTCAGAATGAACTGGTGATAATGATGTTGAGAATGAATGAATGGGACCACAAATTTTCATCAGTGCTACTCGGGGCCCACACCACTTCCTACTCAGATGTATGACAAAAATGCCGTTTTAAATATAGACAATATATGTGCCGGGCCGGGAATGGCGAAAAGTTAGGTATAACTGACACCCATTGCAATACATTGGGAAAATTGAAGTGTGATTGTCAATCCAACCAATTCTTCCAAAAATGCTGACAAGCCTCCAATATGCATTTTCCATGAAAAACGGGGCTCGAAACGATTGGTTGACTTGTGCCCCTTCCATAAGCAAAACCTTGAGACATTTGCTTCAATAATATTGGGATACTGACAACATGTTCATTTTGTTTCATGAGCAATGAGGAGATAGCATGCGAGGGAGGTAAGGGGGGTGGGGTGGGCTTACCCGGTTTGAAAAAAGAGGCCTCCAAATACCTAGCTGTGGCCCCACTGCATTGACTCAATCACTGAAATGATGCATTTATCAGATCTGCCAGCCTTTGTGTCACCTCGCAAAGCTGCGGCTGCATTCCGCCCAACAACAAAAAAACAACAGGTAGCAAGCCATTCAGAGTTTTCATGCAGTGGACTGACTGAGTGATCCAACAAGTCAAAAGCGATGAGCTGTTGTCACTGAGATTCTCCCCGGCAGGAAACAAAACGGCGCTTGTGTGCTGATTGTTGGGCTGGCCCTCACGGGCTGGCAATGAGGCAAAAATCCATTCCACATGATGCGCTCATTGTTTCTGCTGGCTTACTTCAAATATGGATCATCTCTCATTATCTTGGAACTGTTTCGCTCATTTATGCTGCACTCTGGGATCATTCAAAAGCAACGGTGCACAAACTTAGGCTCCTGGCCCAAATTGCGGTCTATTTTTATTGGGTCACGGAGGCTTTTTGAGTCAAATTTAACCATTGTGGTCTTCATCATTCATTTCTCTGTAGATGTCAAGGATAGTGATGTCATTTAATTCATTTTAGATATCACAACATACTGCGCAGTTCCCCCCCCCCCCGCAATCTTTCGATAACCGCATAATTGCTGTATCGTGTTATTTCCATGACTGTTGGCTAAATATTGCGATACAATGTATTGATCACTCACATAAACATTCGATATCAAAACTGTCCATTGATTCTGTTTGGGGAAACAGCAAAATAAGTCGCAACACTGCAGATTGGAGCAGGTAATTGTCACTGTATTTTAATAAACCAAGTGTGGAATGTTAAAATATTGCAGGTTAACCTATTGTGATGCCTCCTAATACACCAACAACACATGTCGATTTTGGCCGACATGCCAGTTTGGGCGCTGTTGATGTTGTCTATATCGTGATCAGCTTTGTTTATCTATGTATGCTCGTGATGTATATTGGCAGACAGAACAATTACATGCTCTTCCACTAGATGGCAGAAGGTACAATGAATCTGTTTATCCACCTGTTGCCATTCATACAACAGCAACAATCACTCGGTGTTCAACTTTGAGACAAGTGCGTCATTGTTTCAATCTAATCTCTTTTCGTGACATTAATCAGTCTTCATCCACATTTAGGAAATAAATAATTCTGATACTAAGCTATCTGATTTTATGTTTTCTTTTTCTAACCCATACCTGAAATGTGCCTCACACGAGCAAAACAATTGGAATTGTCTCACTAGAACCATACAGTCCAAATGCAGCATTGCATCTGCAACGTTGAAAAAAAACTACACAAAACAGTCAGGAGTAAAAAAGTCCACTTACGGGGCCTGTGAATTGCTGCCAAAGGTGAAGTTAACCTGTGTATGCACCTATTGTCATTCATGCAAAAGAACAGCTTGATGTTGACCGAAACAGGGCCAGGTTTAACACTTAAATTCATGTGTTCGTAAATTTAAACAAGGTCATCACTACTTCTATATTATATACGTTTTATTTATTTATTTTTTGTCATGTAAAAATGGGGATTCCCTCAATAAAGGTCCGAATACACGACTTTTTCTTTTAGATGACTGTCATCGTTCGTCGCCTTTCAACAGGTGACGAAGCGATGATGTTGCAAGGCGAGAGCATGCAAATCGCAAACAAAAGATCATACATTATGCACAATGCGACACCTTGCCTGTGGCAAACGAGCAGCTCACCTCGATCCATTTCTGCGCCTCCCGGAAAGCGGACGCGGTCACCGGCTGATGCTGATGCGACTGTCCGGTGTGTGCCACCGGACTTGCCATACCCAAGCGTGGTTGTGATAGTTCTGTCCGAAAAATATATACAACCAAAAAAATACTTTGAATCTTGTCACTAGCGCCGTTATTCCAAGTTGGTCGGCCTCCAGCGGTTATGTCGCAGTAGCAGCACCGGCGAGACAGTCGAGCCACGGTAGCTCCCCTCCGGTTGAGCTCCACGGATACTGTGTGGCAGCGGGCCGGGCGGGTTGCGGAGGAGAAGGAGGAGAGCGGGTGGGGGCTAGTACAAAGCTCGCTACAGTCATCTGCACTGGTTCCGGTAAGGACACGCACAAACTAAAACACAAAATAAAGCAAACACGCACGTGGCTAATTTATGACTCTACCTTTTGGTCGGGTGACGTTTGAAAGGCATTAATTCGCGATAGGTGTTCATGAACAGGTTAACGTCTTTAAAACGTGTAATGTGTACATTTATCGTGTTCTCTTGCAATAAAACTTATAAAGAGGGAGGACATGAGAAGGCCGTCGAGCGCAAAGGAATTATCTTTCGCTTCCCCACGCTAACTCTTTAACCTTCCCCCCGCCCACACACATGCACACACACACACACACACGCACACACACGCACACACACACACACACACACACACACACACACACACACACACACACACACACACACACACACAGTTCATCCCAAATTGATTGGGTCACGATGGTCACTCTGGGTCCAGGCGTTTTTTTCTTTCTTTTTTTTCAGCAAAGCTGGTTAGTTTAAACAATGTTATGATAATATTGAACCATTTTTTATTGTAGTATCACGTTTAAAAATATAACGTTTTATGGCCGCTCAATCCACGTGATTAAAACGGCACGCTCTCTTTGGTGCGTAAACCGCAAGGTAGGCGGGGCTGGTTTAACAGCAGCATTTGTATTTACGTACAAAGCACGTAAGTATCTTCAGCGTTCTCCTGTAATATTGAACACAATAGCACAGTGTGTCCAGTTTAAATATAAAACTGCTGTTTACGTTAATGTCAAGTTTCTGTGCTCGTGAACGTGATCGGAACGGCACGCTCTCACTAGTGTGCCAGCAACCAGGTGTTACGCGGCAAGCGTTGTAGTAGCTTTTATTTTTAAATGTCTTCGCTGGGGATTATTGATTTGACGTTATCGGCGATGTCAAAAGGACAGGCTCTCATTAGCGTACCAGCCGCAAAGTAAATGGGAAATTGAAAGTAAGTTGAAAGCTTGTTTTACCTGCATGTGTGTGTATTAAATGACGTCAGATACATTTGTATTTACAAAGACGATGACGTAACCGTACATTTTATGGTATTATTTTGTAGGTTCATTGAACACGGTTGTCAAATAAACTTCTTATCTGCAAAGTCAAGACGATGACGAAATCGAACATTTTATGGCACATTTAATAGGTCCCTTGTGGACATGCAATGGCTGCACAAGTTTGTTTCAACTTTCCTGTGTAGCAGAAAGTAGGACATAGTTAGCTTCACATCAAGATTTTGCGGTATGGGAGTGTTGCAATCATATGTTAAAGGGGCTGTCATGATGATTTGGCGTCTTATTAAAATAAATTCCAAGCAATGCCCTTATTTTGCAACAGAACCGGATTTGCCGGGCTACGATCGCCTCTTTCCGGTAACTTGATGCAGGCGGACTGATGGGACGCCGCAGTGTTCAAACTACAACCGCAACAATTAATAAGTATATCTTAACCGCAACAATCAATAATAATAATCCAGTTATACAAAAGTCGACGTTAAAATGCGTGCAAATGCATAATTGTTGATTGTTTGATTTTATTTGGTATACCTAATGCGGTGTCTCTGAGGTGTTCCATCTGCTCCATATGGTATGCTGGATACCAGGAACAGGAGAGTGTGATTTTGTGTGTTTTTGTGTTTGCGTGTGTGTATGTGTTCGTGGTTTATTTGACTGTCAGCTGTTGCATCTGTGGCTGACGGGAGACGTGCGCGCGCACACACACACACTTGGCTAGCTTGGTAAGTGTACTGCATCACTTCTATTGAAGCTAGAAATTCATTTAAATTTGGATCTTTTTCAACATGTTTTATAATGGTTTGCATTATGGTGCAAATGTGTTAAACAGCAAACTGACAAATTGCACTTAATCATTGTAATTGATGTTTGTGGCACATTTAATAGGTCCCTTGTATATAAACATCTACAGCTGTAGTTTACAATATAGTACCGGTAATTTAAAAACATTGCATAAAGAATTCTCGCTGTTTGGTTAATTTAAAAAGCGTAATACAATTTGTCGTGGACAGAGAGCCAAAGATGAACTTGAGTTAAGTCAATAGCCTGTGCATTACTGTAACTCAGTTTTCAAGTGGTGTTGTTTCATTTTTCATTTGCGAACAATATGTAAGGCCAAACAAAAAAGATGTGTTTCCGGTAACATGAAATTTCAGCATAGGGTCGGTAGGTCGGACAAAGTTGTTGTTTTTTTCATCTTTTTTTTCCCCCATCAAAAATTTAAACAAAATAACCATAAAACAAGAAGACATTGAACCCGCCTCTCCGCGGA